GGTGAGAGTTGTGAACATTGTTTTCTTCTTCCTCGGTTGTCTAGTTGCATAAGTGTGAGAATTAAAAACTAAGGTTATGTATTTCTTTGCAGGTTTGAAAACAGGACAAAAGGAACCAGGCACGTCAGTTCTTATAAGACACAAAACTTGATGCTTCTCTCTTTTTAGAACATGGCTATGTGTATTTCAATGACTTGGTGTTTGAATGTTTTTTATGCACTCTTTGGATCTATCTATGAATGCTTTCTTATTTGGACCGGATGGTTGTTTCTTGAAGCAAAAAGACATATATATATATTATCATGTGTCCATTTTATCATTTCAAATTCACAAAGGTCCAAAATATAAAATGTCCATATATGGAGTTTCAGATAACAATTCTCTCATTTTGTGGTTTAGGGCAAGGATAGGGTTAAGGTTCAGACTTATGTTGTAATTAGTTTAGGGTTTCGTTATGTATATTGTAATTAGTGTGTTGAGGTCTTTTCAAACATAATATAACACACATACCAAAAATAAAATTTTGATCACAAACTTCTTCATCCATAATATCATTTGTTGTAAAAGGGTTACCATTTAGTGTGTAGTTTTAGGGGTTAGAGTATATTAGTGTAATTTATGTGTTTATGGATTTATATGTTCACAAATTGATGTTTAAATTTAAGTTTATAATTTTAAACTATGGTTTTATTTTTTTACATTTTAATATATTTTATATATAATTTTTACGAAAATTATAAATTAGTTGAAAGCTAATTTGTATGGTTTTATTAGAGCCATTGATTGATATAAAGATCAAAGGCTCATAATCAATCCCCTATGTATCCTCGTCCTCTCTTCCTATTGGTTGCTTTTTTAAAGGCAAGGATTCAAATCTTGTCCGTTGGTTAGTGCTAATCTAACGGTTCAGAATGGTTTTTCTGTTTTATCTTCTTCCTTCGTGAACCGTACCAACCACAACCTAGAGAGTTATCTGAAACAAATCTCTCCTTTCCACCACGAGTCCACCTCGAACCACCACGAATATCTGTGTATCCATCTCAAGCAACCTCGATTCCATCTCAAACCACCACGACTCACTCGTTTCCCTCTCTCTGTCTTTCCATATCAAAGGTCAGCGCACTCTGAACCCTACCTTTAACTCATCCGTCTGATTATTAGCTTTCTCACAAAGGTAACAAATCTTACAGATCTCGGAAGATTTGAAGCCTTACAGATCTCGGAAGGAAACTTCAAGTTTTCTTCTTCGATTCTAATTGAAAGGTCAGAGACACTCGATTTCCATTTATTATATTCTTCTTCGATTTTCACTCATTTGTGTTCTAATTTGTGTTCAATTTTTTGTCTAGAAACTCCAATGGAAGCAAGGAAGGGCATCATCTGTGGACTGGCGGCAGCTGGAGTGAAACCACAACTCAAACAACGACAGCCACAACAAGTACCAATCAACACAGAACAAGAACGAGGACAGTCCTCAGGAGGAAATGATGTAGAGGAGATAACGAGAGCAGAGTTCAGACACTCTCTAGGCTACTTGACACGCATTGAGGAACCTGAAGAAGACATCGAGCCAATGTTCAGACGCTCCCTGTATGCCCGCNATATGATGCTATTAAATAACAGTAATACAACACATAAGAAACGCTGCCATATCGATATTTTTGACAGCACATCAAAATACGCTACGATAGGCCGGGGGTCTACCATAGCTGCGGCTGTCACGGCGTTCTTCGAAACGCTACGAAAACCATATTATAGCGTTTTCACGGTGCTACTAATACCCATATTTCTTGTAGTGTCGTTTATGGTCAAGGCAAAAAAAAAACTTAAAAATTCCTATTTAGAGATTAAGTTGTTCGTCTTCCGATCAAGAAGATTTCTCAAACAATATTAGTGCAAGTAAGTCTATAAACTTTCATATGATTCTATTATATGATTATTCTAAATGTTCTTAGGATTCATATAATAATGCTTACAACGAGCGCACAAATGATCAAACCAGACAAATGTTCGATTGGAATTGAATCAGGGGTTAGAAAGGCTTTCACCGCGTATAAGTATAAATAGATCTAAGCTGGAAAATTACCAAAGGAAATCAGTAGAAACGATCCAAATTAACTCCCTCCTCATAGGGAAGGAGAATTGAAAAAATAAAAGTTTAAAGGCTAATTGACCTGAACGACGTAATAAACTGACAACAGTTTAGGAACATAATTTTCAATCAAGATGTGAGTGGTCTGCAACAACATCAGTGTTACGAATAGCCAATGTTCAAGAAATCACAAGGCAGTAGCAGTACAATACAGTGAACAAAAAACTTGAGTCTATAAACAAAAATGAAAAGATACTTCATTTAGCTAAATATTTCTTTGCTAAATGATTCTATAACAAGATGTCATCCCATAGAGAATAAACAATCTCGATTACATTATCATAGGATTACCTTTAGATTTCTGGTAGTTATAAAAATACAGAAAGGAAGAGAACCAATGGATGCATAACCGAGGTTTAATTAGAACATCGCATTACACTCTTACAAAATCAAGTGAATTGTTTGACGAATTCAAAACCTTGGTTTAGAAGTGATCCAGTGATCCACAGCTTCAGGTTAGGCAAGTTCAAGCTCTGTTCGAAACATGTCCCCTGTAACCAGCAAACAAGCAAACTCGGTAATTAGTAAACGTGTGTCTGGGACTAGCAGAAACTAGAAAAAAAGAAAGGTAGAAAGAGACAAGTTGGTTTACATCTAAAGCATATGTTAAAAGGTATCGGTCAGGAGAAGGAGAACTTAGGTTGGAGTTTTGGACTTGGAAACTTGTAAGAGACTCCAAAGACTTGTAGAGTGATGGAGCAACACCTACTCCTTTATTACACACCAGTCTCACATAAAATCCTTTCTCTTCCACTTGAATAACATCCATCTAGCACACAAAATATAAATTTAACAATTGTAATGAGAAATCATTTTCCTACTTTTGTTCTTGAAATTATTGCTGTCCCATTTTGTAAACAAGATTTTAATATTTTTAGAAAGCTTGGGTTTAATAAATACCTCAATGATATTCTTGGATGGAGGCTTACTACTCTGAAAAGTTTGAGTCTTCTTCTGAGCGTCTAGTGCAGGTTCTTGGTACCCTCCAGTAGAGTTTAAAGAAGCTTCAAGGCCGGCTATATCCGCTTTGAGTTTCTTGGCTTGTGATTGCAATTCTTGAACATACAACACCGCATCTCCCACAATGGATGCTTTATCCATCTTATCCCAAAAAAAAAAGAAAAAGAAACACCCCATCAGTTTCATAACTCATATTTGTGTAATGAAAGCTGCTGATTTAGTTGATTACATTTTACCTTAGTAATGTTGGGAACAAGAGATCTCAATGCGTAGAGCTTATCCTTCATACGACTTCTCCTCCTTCTCTCGGAGATCAAAGTCCTCGACCGATCCGTCTTCGTTTTACGGCTTCCATCATTGTTCGTTGTGGTGGCCGAAGAATCGTCTCCATCGTTGTAATCGTCGTCACCGCCAGGTATGAAACTCTCGCCCTCGAAGCTATGGAAAGATTCGGTGACATTGGAACCTAAGTCAGGCACTTCGTTGAACAGGTCAACGACAGGTGTTGGGACAAATTGGTTGTCGTCGATGAAACAGGAGTTGTTTTGTAAAGGACCACCAAGATCGAAACCGATGGCTTGATCATTATCTCCTCTGATGAAATTAATGAACTGGTCGAAGTTTGGATCGACCAAGAAGTTGTATACTTCTAGATCGTTTAGGTTTGAAAGAGCGTTGACTCTTCCTTCCATCGTGTCTTTTTGTATGTTGCTTAGCTTTCTTGTCAATCCGAAAAGGAAGACTTCGAAGTTTCTGACAACAAAAGAGAGACAAAGTGAGTTTATATGTATACACTACAGAAAAGTGACTTTTTTGTTTCCTTGTGCTTTTAAAAGTCACTAATATTTTATATGTATTAATAAGGAAACCACGATAAGACTTGCACCTTTCGCAAGGTGAACATATGTAACTAAAATATAAAATATTAGTTTTAATTTAAAATTTACATATGATTTTTTTTATAAATATTTGAAATTTTAGAATTGTGGAATTTTATATAATTATTTATACGTAAGATCAGAAATAATTGTAATTAGAACTGTAGATCAAATCTTAGAATGTAATGGACACGATTTCATATATCTTTTCACTTTTCAGTGTTCGAGTGATGGAAAATAAACATAGTGTCACTAGACTTGATTGGTAGAGTATTAGTAAATTATCTAATATTTTCTTAAGAAGCACTTGGTAGAATATTTGCATTTAAAATATATAAATTTCAAAACTAATTTAATATACTTTATTTTTTGTTTAATAATATTAGAAATTATATTTTTTATAAATAATTTTCTAAATTATTTTTCTAAAAAAATAAGTTAAATTTTAAATTATTTTTAAAATAAAATTATTTTAAAAGCAATATTTTAAGTTTTTCAAATAAAAATTAACAATTTAAAACTAATTATGGTCATGATTTAACATAACCATAATGATTTAAAAAATTAAAAACTAAAAAAAAAAATTAACTCAGTTTTATATCATAATTTAACAATTTAAAAACTAATTATGGTTATGTGAAGTTTACGTTCACGTGTCAATCCTATTTATCTTCAATTTTTTCTTTTGTTGTGTTTTTTTTTATTTTGGTTATTATTCGATATAAATATTGATTTTGAAGTTTATTCTCATTTCCTTTGTTTGTTTTGACCTGAGATTTAGAAAAAACTTAAGATTTAAAATAATTAAAGAGATACATAGTTAGGTTAAGATCTACACTTTATGCACAATAAGTATTTTATATTTATTATTTATTTTATATTCTCTGCATATTAGAAAATAATAAAATAATATATATATATATATATATTAAATAACTAAGAAACCAATTACTATTATGTAATAAATTGGCGTATGCATATAAATTTAATTATCACTCTTGTTTATTCGCAATTAGGGTAAATAAATCAAAACAGTTAATCTTATTTATCGTATATGATATATTATACGATATTATAATTAAATTAAAATGATATAAACATAGTAATATAGCACACTTTTAATATGAATATTTATTAAATGAGGTTTCTACTCATATGATTTTATGAATGTTTGCATATTAATTTGTGTAACAAAACTTTTCACTAACGGATTTTTTTAATGTGAGATGTTTAGTAGTTTCAATAATTGATAATCATTTAAAAAATAATCACATATTTCAGAATTAAAATATTAACTTTTTAATATATGTTCAATGCAAATATCAAAATATAAGTATGTATTTTCATACGATGTATAGTTTAATTTAAACGATATGAAATAAATAAATATATATATATTAACATAAAAGCTATTAAAATAAAATTATTTCTTCATATGGTCTTATAATCATTATATTTTAATATAGAAAAAATAAAACCTTGATCCTAAAAGTTTATGTGAGACTTTTAACAGTTTTAGTAATTTATACTCGTTTTGAAAAATTCGAAATACAACATACACAAAAAAAATCTAGATTTTATTATATGATTAATGTAATTGTGTAATTTATTTTAATAATAAAGAAATAATAAAAAGTATACAGATTAGTATCAAATCTTTATTGTTTAAAACATTAATTGCCATATATATATTTTAATCACATTAGGTAATTCCGTAGATTTTATTTAAGGAAAACGTGCGAAACAATAAATATTTGATATATGCGACCAACTATAGGCTACAAAATATTATATTGAGAGTATAATTTTAGACTATACTTTAAGCTAGAAGCTCTAGAATCATTTTATTTTGAAATAGAAAGCATAGAGAAGGGCCACATAGGATTGAGTTATTTTTAACTAATACAAACTTAAGGTTACATCTTTCAAATGTTTCTCAATTAGTATATAGGGGATATATTTTAGCCAGCTTGGTACTTGATAGTTTATTCTTTTAAACAGACTTGTTAGTTTTATTGCCAAACAAAAAAAAACTTGTTAATTTATGTTTAAGTTTGTTTTGTTAACGTCTTGATCATGTCATGCATGACGATCAATTAATTATATACAATCTTGCTAAAATGTTTCAAATGATTGGTTTGTCGTGTTGCATGACAGTTATATTTCTGGCTATGAAATGGAAGTTGAATTCTAAATCAAAACAAGAAGAAAAAAAATCAATCAGTATTTTTCTCGAAATAAAGAGTGGTAGTTCTAAAACTAAAATGGAAACCAAAAGGATATATAATTAACTGAAATTCTCTTCTTGCATATATAGCCTGTGAGCTGCTGTAAATGCACTTGCTATGAAAAAGAGTTTCAAATGTTTGAGATATTCAATGACAAGTTTAAGCTTTTTTTTTTGGTAATCATAATAAGTTTAGTTAAGTAAATAAACAGATTCATTGACTTTTAATTATAAATTATAATGGTGGACAATTCATAAGAGAAAATAACTATATATCTGAGCTTCTAATTCGAGCACAATTTAATTAAAAACAGAAAAAAATATTAACATATATGGGCGGTTCGGTTGGTATTCAGGGATCCACCCATGTGAAAAAACAAATATTATACATACCAAGTAGTAGTGTTTAATATTTATATATGGCTATGTGTGTGAAAGGAATCAGAAAGGAAGTTTATCCATTCGCTGTTTAGTTAAGTTAATATTTACATATGTGGCTATGTGTGTGAAAGGAATCAGAAAGGAAATTAATCGTTCGATGTCAGGTTGTCAGTTACCTATTACAGTAACTTATTGTATTAGTTTACCTAATACTAACTAAGTATTATACGACACAGAAATAAATTATCGTACAGATTTTTATATTTAAAAAAATCACCGTATTAAAGGAGGTGGTACTACTGTTATTTTAATTATTTTTAAAAGATTGAACTATATAATTTAATTTAACTATTTTTTTTTTTGTCAAT